AGACATACCTTGAGGCGCTGCACGGCTTTCACTCGCTCATCGGGAGTAAGGAACCAGGCATTCGTAGGCGAATCAGGAAACAAGAACCTTTATTAGGTGAAAACGTCTCGGTTATAGAGATTAGGCGCGGGGAATATCTGTTTCATAAACTCACCAAAATAAGATCGCAAGGATCATCGTCATTATAGCGGTGATGATCATAAGCCTGCGATCTATCAGAGTGAATATGGAACAATGAAAATGAAATGGCGGACCATTGCCATGGTTCAAACCCTGTGGTTTTGATGTGCAAAACACCAAAGCTGATGAAACCAGATATTATTTGGGCTAGATTTCACTGGCTTGGGCAGCAAGATCGAATATACATTTGAGTAAGCGCACCAGTGCCAAGCATCAGAGCTAGATTCCAAAGCGTCCAATTAGTCGACTTTGTCAATCATTTGCAAATGGGAGCTTACACCAATACCCAACCCGTAGCGTCTGTTCCGTCCGCGTGTAGAACATGGAGCTAATGATCAAGAATCCAGCAGTGATCGACCCCTCACATACGCCCAGCAACAAACGCACGACAAGAAGCCCACGAAAGCTCTTGCACGCTGCATGAGATGCAAGTACAACTGTCCAGATGAAGATATTGATACTGTTACATGCTGTCAACGGTGTTCGCATTGATAACGCCTGTGAAGCCTACCTCATCCACTTCCCGACCGGGAATCTCTGAAGGGCAAGATTCTGGGGATACTGGAAGAGAATGTAACCAAGATAGAATGCAGTGCCAAGCCTGAAAGATAGTGTAAGGACTATGCAAACTCGAGTAGTGCATGTGCCTCACCAATTGTACCTAAAGACAGTTGACCATTAGACTTACGACTCCAAGGATAGGGATATCTTACTCATTCGTAGTCAGGTGCGCGGCCTGCCTGATAACACACGTCAGTGCCGGTTCGGCTGGTCTCGATGTACAGTCCTTACTGAATTCCAAGGATGGCCGCAGAACCCAAGGTTAACTTGTCCATGAATTGGATCCTATGCGCACGTAAGCGCTAATCTGTGGTGAACGCAGCCAACTAACCCGTAAAGAACTGAACAGCAATCGTCAGATGCAATCGGTTTAAACAACTGAGTACCGAGCAGCCGACTAACCACACATCAGAGGCATGACATATCTATCGATCTTCCTCCTGGAACGAAATATTTTTGAACAATGCTGATCTTCGTGCAGTTTTCAGAGCGTACCTTACTCTCAAAGCCTCATCGGGCTCAAGAGTTGAATTCAACCCAGCAACTAGCTGAGCGCCAGTATCAACTTCAGACACGAAGACCTCTGCACGTTTCTGGTCTTTGAGTACACCACTAGAGGATTCCAAACTCATTTTGAGAGGACGTGAAGGTGACACCTTGAAGGAAGAAGCTTCCGGCGCTTGCAGGTTGATTCGCCCATTTATACTGTTTCATTGGGCATGTCAAAGCATCGTGATAACGATGACGTGAATCCCTGATGGTCTAAGCGGCAATTCATATCGGGCCTAGCTTTCGGTTCCATGAAGCGAACACGCGCATCCACGCACTGACACTCACCAGTCATCGTATGAGTCCGACTTTCCCCGTCACTGGCAAAGTGAGTACTTCAGGAATAGGAAAGTAAATCTTCACCGAACAATTATTTATGGTCACGGTGTGCAACAAGCGTTGTTTCAGGTCCAAGAGTTTCCAATCGAGTTCAACTTCTCGTGTCGTTTGCTCCCCTTCCTACGTGAACAAGGAAGCCCAACTTCGAACATTCTGCTGCGGATACCTCAGAGCTACGATAGGCAAGAGTTGTGACTTCTTTAATTTTGGGTTCAATTAAGAGATCGTATTTCTGTCAAGGCGCTCAGCTGGATGTTGGTCCGTGACATGGCTCACATGGCGGCACACTCAGCAATCCAGACCAGTATAAAACACAGATTGATGCTCAACTCGTCAGCGTATGACCCACATGTTATGTTGCGCTGTTTGTGGAGCTGGAGACTATCAACACATGTCACATTTATTCATGGATGGATGTCATTGGGAGTCTCAGACATCAACAACTTGAAGTCACTCGTTTGAGTTCCAGGTATCTTTCTGTGAGCCCATCATTTCATTGTCGACTTTATAAGTCATGCACGGAAATGGTCACTGAGCGCTCGCTTTTGTTCAGCATTCCTACTTCCTGTAAAACCCTCATCGGCATGTTTTCGTCCGGAAAAGTTAAGAATTCACATGTTGTACCCAGACGTCGAGCGGTGACAGTGAGTAGCGGCTTGGAGCAGACGTACCTTTGACAAAGTTGACAAGCCCTGGCACTTTCACGCGTCGGATCAGGCATCATTGATTTTGACTGATCGACCCTCCAAATCACAACATAATACCACGATGAAGCTCCATTAAGGCAATGCCACAAAATATATGTGCTGACTGCACATTATCTGTGATTCAATTTGTAAAATCTAATGTTGACCATCATTTCCCTGCTACACATCAACGCTGGTTGACACATGTCCGCACTCTTGAAAAACGATTGTACTCATGCGAGTTTCTCCGTCAGAGTTGGCCACCAGCTTAGCGTTATAATCCCGAGTGCTAAGGACGAGACGTGGTCCCAGGACAAACATCTGCACGAACTGGACCATTTGGTAAACACCGTAATAAATGCCAGATCCCACAGAAGTTGAGCCCTGTGGAAATGATGAGTGGCCGGGTTTAAGGTGTAGATGCCAGTCACAAATTAACGCACCATGAGGTCTGGAGACAGCAAGCCGATGTAGAAGACTTGGTAAGCGACAGTGTTCGTGTAGATGATGCAGTGCTTTTATGGAGATCATGCGGGATGTCCGTTCCTTGAAACAGAATCATGACTCGGTCACAGCATCCACCTATCGTCACGTCAATCTTAGCTAACGCAAATCACTGAGCTTCGGTAGTAATCATAGTATATTTAAGCTGTGCATGGCAGGGCAGAGTCGCTGTCCACTTCGACATGAATGTTCCCTTGAAACATGCAATTGAGCTGACCACAGTTTGATTCTATCAAGAAAAGCACCTTCGAAAGTCAAGGTTATGCGTAGCAGATGCACGCATTTAACTCACTTTGTGCAGCGAGCCTGCCAGCAGATTCCGGCATGTGTATGATCATCGAGCACCACCATCACACTGCAGTTTCGAGATTATCAATAATTATTAATAACGGGTGACCTGATTTTCAGATAATCAAGAAATCTTCCCTTTTCTAACTCGGTCCTATGTTCATTCCCACTGTCCAGGGCCTCCTACTAGCGCATGTCTGATTGCCAAGAGGACGCTCACTGTCAATCAATCTCCGCACAATCTGAAAGCGAGATTAAATCAATCCTTGAATTTTTGAGACAGTATGTAGCACTAGAGAGCAGAGATAAAAGTGCAGCAACACAGCCGGTCGTCAGCACTGCCCGTCTGGCGAATTTCTAACGCGGATAAGTTCCCTTTGCACCATACGACCATATTATAACGTAGCAACGCACCAAGGAAGGGGTTTTCATGGTAAGGTAGTCCTCCACAGCTGCATCAAGAAAGACGCTTTTGAAACTCAATGATTCTAGCATGCACACTGGATAGACTAGTCAGTGATCTTGAGGTGGTACCGGTGTTGGATGTGCTCGAGACTGAACGCACAAGCGATCGTTCCAGAAGATGTTGAGCGATTTTTAAACAAGATTGAGTAACTCCTACCATTGGCCCTCGATGATAACCAAAAGTTCGGGGGAGGATGATGATCCTGGCTATGCTTTTAACGTGGTGCGGAACCGATGGTTCGATAACAAATAGAGATGTTCTGTGGACATCGCCGTTGACGTAATGGCGAGATGCAAGATCTGAACGGCCTGTGGGACAGATATCACGGGCGTCTTGGAAGGGGGAAGAAAGTTGCAATTAGAGGATAAATACAAAACACTTCTCCAGCAATAGTAGTGAAGGCTTTCCAAGCGCAGTTTCTGTATCAAGGTGATGAAGATTAATTTGTGCATTCATGACGACTATATGTTTGCAGGGAACAGATTAAAGACGGTCTGTCCTACAAGCACGCAGTCATGACGAGCGCAGAGCGGCAGGGATAGTGAATTCAAAGTCCTCTGTGGATGATTGGTCATGTGTGCGAGAAATATATGATATCCTCTCGGCGTTTAGCATCAGAGTGAATTGATCACTCACAATAGCGATCGGATTGCCACGTCGAATAAAGGGTCCCGGCTGAAAGACGAAGGCTAGGCTGTTCTGTTGGTTTGCAATAGATGTTGCTGACGACGTAGCTCGACTGATGTTGCGATCTAGAGTGCTCCTATGGAAACCTTGAATACACGGACCAGTTCTCCGTAACCGACGATGAGACCCAAACCTGAACCGTAAAAGAAAGCTCCAACGGCCTAGAACCTTTGTTGATACCTGCAGGAAAGACTGGCGGGATATTTAACTTGCAGGAGTGTCACATAAAAGCGAGCCAAGATCCGTCAAAGACCAAGAGTGAGATCTCTGAGATGGTCAATGCATGCTGAGTATAATATAAAGGAGTGGCGTGATGACGACTTATTTTCTCTTCGTCGTGGACAGGTGGTGTGACGTCTCCGAAAACCTTCTCTAGCCGATGGGTGCATGCTATGAAGTGCAAGAGCGATTTACCGTTTGATACACTTTCAGTTGTTCAGGATTCTTCAGATGGTCTGCGGTGTGGGCGATAGTCAATTTTGTTGCGAAGTGCGTGGTGTCGTCTGGCGGAGATTATGAGGTAGCGGTCCACCCCTTCCCCATCAGGAAATTCACGCATTACTTAACGCACTTTTTAGCTACTTGTCGCAAAATTTGGTTATTGTTCTCACTTGTATGTACTTGCTTACTTGTACCGTAGACAGTACAAGGAATAAAAAGCTGGCAATTAATTATGTAGTGCAAAAGGACAAAAAGCAAGTACAGTAGATATGGGAACTCGTGGGACTGGGAGTGGGTGATTATGATGCTATCTCGAAGGCATGGTGATCTGTGAATTTGTTAACATAGTATGCGCCGAAAGCATCATAAGAATGAAAGTACTGTATGTTGTTAGGAATGAAATCATGTCCGTAGACAGGAATTAAATGTGCTGCTTGGTAGACTGTCTCGAGATGAATGATGGCGAGGTTCAGGGTGCCATTGTCACGAGTGCTCAGACAGACTATCCACATGCCAGTGTCCTTGTCAGCATGGTCACCAACCTTGTCAAACCATTGAACAAGGGCATATGGATACATGACCCAATTAAATTTGAATGAAAAAAAAAACATTTAACCCTGGTGACTTCGAGCCCTTCAATTCCTTCAAGCTCTGGATTGATGTTGACAAATATGCAATTGTTACACACATAGACATTCTGCCAGAGTGGACATGCACGAATCTGTTCATGTCACATGCCACTGATGCCACTGGGATCACTGGGGGCATAAAATGTTGCAGCCACAGAATTGAAGATGTGAATACTCCCATCATGTTGAGGGCAGTTGGTGGCAGGTACATCTTCAGGGTTGTGGGGGTCATCAGGGAAGAGTTGGGAGAAAAGGAAGTAGCGGATGAGATGTTGCAGGTGTGGAACATGAACTTCCTCTGCCAGTGCCACTACCGTCTGTGCCCATTTTCATTCTGTCAAATATTGTCAAGGTATTGAGGCAGACCATATTACAACACCACTTATGAGGTGTCCTTGCGAGCTGTACAAAAGTGAGAGCTGTCAGACCATCAACAACTTTGCCATCATCAATATCATCTTCTGCTTGAGGTGTGACAACAGGTGCATTTGGTTCATCTTCATGCCCATTAAGTATGCAAGACAACAAAGGTTAGATATAGAGAAACTTACAGAGAGAAGCCACAGCTCTTGATAATATGGAACCTACAAGCATGCCTCGTGTAGTGAAGTCAATGCGAGATGCCACGAGCTTGTCGAGGTGTTGGTTGGTCAAAAGTACAGTGACTTGCAAAACTGTTACAATGTTTGGTACTTTTTCAGTGTACATAATATAGCGCCTATGCATGTGGGAATCATGCTTAGTGTTGGTGGGGGCGTGTGAATTACAAACCCTTGGCTACAAACTGACACTTGGATCATGCGATTTGGCCAAGGGGATGTGAAGATATGCCTATTTTAAGACAGAGATACCATTGTAATGGTTTTGCAGCTGTTGATATAGATAGAGGGATCTCAGTCAAATCAGAGGATGGTTACTGTTATTTGCTTACACAAATAAAAATATACATGAAAATATTATGTCTGAGTTTGAAATTGCTCCCACGCTTCTTTATTCTTAATCATTACCACCATGGGATCTCCCTCTACTACTCAAAAGAATACCATTCTCTTTCAGCTTAATGCTGGTCATTCTATTCATTCTATTGCCTCCACAACTGGTGTCAGCACTACTACTATCTCCAAGCTTCATTAAAAAGAGTGTTCCTACTTGCAAAAGTTCACTGGTAGTCATTCAACCAAGCTTTCCTCAGTCAATATTTGACATCCTATTTGTTTCATCTTCACTCAGCAGGCAGAAACTGCTATCCAAGTGATCAAATCTTTTTCAAATATTGTCAATTAGCCCCCCAACCCAAGTACCACTTGCTGCTACCTGAAAAAGCTGGGATGAGGGCTGTAGTCAAGTCCAAACACTCTCTACTGTCTGCCAAATATTGCAAAGCACACTTGGACTTTGCCTATACTTACAAAAATTGGACTTTGGAGGACTGGAAGTTGGTCATATGGTCTGATGAAACCAAAATTAATCACCTAGGGTCAGATGGTTGCAAATGGGCTTGGAAAAAGTCAGGAGAGAGGCATAGTGACAGATTGGTATAAGGAACTATTAAGTTTAATGGAAGTTCTGTGATGATATGGGGCTGTATGACCTGTGAAGAAGTTGGCTATGCTGCTAAGATTGATGGTAGAATGGATGGAGATCTTTACCTTCAAATTTTGAAGGATAAACTTCAGAATTTCCTGGAGTTTTATGATCTTAATGCTTCTGATGTCATCTTTCAGCAAGACAATGACCCTAAGCATACCTGCAGAAAGGTCAAGAAGTGACTAGATGGGCAGGAATTTAGGACTATGGTGTAGTATGTACAATCTCCTGACCTTAACCCATTGGAATATCTCTGGGACCTTGTCAAAAGGAGACTTGCAGAGTATGAGCATCCCCCTAAGGAAATAGTAGCAATGGTTGGGAATAAAGAAGTGTGGGAGCAATTTCAAACTCAGACATAATATTTTCATGTATATTTTTATTTGTGTAAGCAAATAACAGTAACCATCCTCTGATTTAACTGAGATCCCACCATCTATATTAACAGCTGCAAAACTGTTACAATGGTATCTCTGTCTTAAAATAGGCATATCTTCACATCCCCTTGGCCAAATCACATGATCCAAGTGTCAGTTTGTAGCCAAGGGTTTGTAGTTCACACGCCCCCACCAACACTAAGCATGATTCCCACGTGCATAGGTGCTATATTGTGTACACTGAAAAAGTACCAAACATTGTAACAGTTTTGCAAGTCACTATATCTTTAGTGACATCCATGACCATCTTATGGATCTGGATGGCTCCATCCCTGCTACACAGCCTGCTTTTGCAGACTATAAGTCTGATTCTGACACCAGTCACAAGCTAGAGGTCTTGGACCGCAGTTCCACTCATGATATAGAGGTCTTGGACTGCAATTCCAACCTTGAGCCTCCACCACTTGCCCAAAAGCCCATGTCTCACTCCATCTTCCCACTGGACTTTTACTTGTTGGCTGCAAGTCAGAAGCGGAAAATGTCGCCTCTTCTGGGTGACGACGATGATGTGCTGATGCTGTCATCTGAAGATGAAAGTGTGGAGTGCACCAACACAAGTATGGTCACAGTCAAGACTGAACCTGTTGAACCAGTGTCCATGTGCCGGTTGACATCTTCAGTATGTTTAATTTCTTAATGCTATATTTTACTGACTACAATTATCAGACCACTGTTGCTGCCATGCTCAAAGCTCCTCCCACAAAGCAGCTGAAGACTGAGACTTCTGCTACCACTGGAACAGTTGCCCCTGCCTCCAAAGCCATCATATGCTCTGCATACAGGAAGAAACATCTCCCCAAGGGTTGCCAGATGGAAAACAAGTAGGCAAGAGAGTTTATTCCTACTGCTATTCACTGCATTGGCAATATGGACAAAGTGTGGACTCTGGCAGATGACATTCTCTGCCCTATTTTGCAGTCAGTCTGGGACGCAGTCTATAAGGGCAAGATTCCACACACAGTTGTCGCTGATGGGCCTGTTATTGCCCTCATACACTATTTTTTCAGCCACTATTTAAATCTAACTTTTGTTTTAGACCCTCCAACGGTTGTCCAAGTGGCACAATACTATAAGTAATGTCACCCTCATTGTACTTGCCAACTTCATGGCTTCACAGGATGATCTAGATACTGATCAGGACTGCAAAGATTTCACAATAGCCTTGGTCGAAAAGCTTGGCTTCTTGTTCAGGGAGATCACAGATGAAGGAGCAATGTCCAAGCCATTCCAATCTGACCTCATTGTACAGATCCTTGTGCGGCACAAGTGTGCCATGTCTGGCGCTGTCAGTCTACTGGGAATCAACAATTCATTTCCAGGGCACTCAAAGGGTGCTCTTGCTCTTGCCACAGCAGTGGTAATCATTTTCTAACTTCTTTTTTCATAGCACTAACTGATGTTTTCTTGTGTTTCAGATGGAACACACCATCCGGCTTTTTCACTAATGGACATATGATCCTTTCTGACATCGACACTGCTGGCAATGGCCAAGGCAACAAAACCCCCTGGACATCAATCCATCCACAGGCAAGGAGAGCAGCATGCCTCTAGCATTTTCCAACACCAATTGGGGTGTGCACACCCGAGCTTACACAGTGTCTATCAATTGCTTGCCACACTCAGTCATCCTTCGAAATTCGGAGCTTGTGCAGAGTGTTGCCATGATGAGGCATGGTTTGCGGATGGATGTAGATGAAGAATCTGAGGATGAGTGAGCACTGATTTGCTAGAGGTGTATCTTCATTCTTAGAGTTCATCTCTCTCTTGTCATATTCACTCACTGTCTCGCCATCGCTATCTAATCACTCATCACTGTCCCCCTGGTGTTACAGTCGCGGTTACCCCCTATCTCTTTTTCCTTTGTATCTTTGTGTATTACGTCATGACCGCACCATGTTGTGCCATCATTAGACTAACCGCCTTCCATATCTGTATTACATCACAACCGCCACGTGCTGTCGCTAGATGACTCATTCCCTTATCTCTGACTCGACTCATGACGTATGCGTGCCTGCCCTAGAGTACCTACGCCTATATAAACTCGGTCATGTACTTAGATAGAACTTCACTTTAATCTACTAGGTCTTACCCAGAATTATCCTTCGCTTAGGACCTCCAATCCTAAGTCGTCTGATAATGATATTCAAGCCAGAGACACTCTCTCTGACTTGTCTTAAAGAACCTTACATTTGTAAGGATACGATCCAGCTTCAAGCGTTACTCTTATCGAGTACTTGTCGTCGCGCCCATCCTAGTTCACCGTAACACCTGGCTACTATTGCCATTATATTATTGGCTATATCACACATTTCACCATCTTTTAGCTCATTGTGGCCTCCTTGCTAGTACTTGTTTCTTACTTACTCTCTTTTTTTCATTTCTATGCTACTTAATCACCTTGTCTGGCTGGAATGCAGTTGTTTTTGCTTGAAACAAGTATGAATTAAGTGTAATTAAGTGTAAAATAAGTGCACAAAATGAGGCAATCAACAATTGAAGTGCAGTTCATGCTCGAACAAGTGGTAAAAAAGCCCAAAGAAGTGCGCAAAAGCCTAAAACAAGAGGAGGGGATCTGCTTTTGAGCTTGTAGCAGCTTGTAACAAGG